AGCACAAAAAAATTAAGGCCAGCTATCTGCTAATGAATAAAACAGAACAGATTCACTAGAGGAAAACTGGGGCTGTAGAGGAGACGGCAATGAGCCAGAAAGCAGAGGGAAGGGACTCAGCTAAGCTCTTCTGGACCCTAACTTCCTTGGCCTTCATCAGACATGAACAGGCTAATGCCCAGAAGTTTGGGGTACTTAAAAGGGGGACTGAATAGAGAGTAAAGTACTTGCATATTGCATGTGCAGGAGGAAGGAAGAGTTCCTTCTAGGATGGAAGGAGACAACCAATTAGAAATTTCCCTGAGTCAGGGAAGCAGTTGACGCAGTCTTGGCTTCTTTTCTTTTCTCTCCTTTCTTTTGTTCTTTTCCTTTCGTAGTTTTTGTTATTCTTGTGGCTGTTACAAAAGTACTTTTTCTTACAGAGGCAACCTAATGAGAAAAAGGTTAATTTGAGCTCACAGGTCAAGGTACACCATCAGAGCAGGGAGGACAAGGGAATAGGAGCTTGAAGCACCTAGTCACCTGACATCTACAGTCAAGAAAGTAGAGAGCCATGAGTGCCTGCTGATGCTCAGATCCCTCCCTTCACTTCCAGGATGCAAGCCAGGGTGCGGTAAGTAATTGGGTCTTCATACCTAGGTTAACTCAATCAAGATAATAATACCCTCCAGGCAAGACCAGGTCTCCCAGGCAATTCTAGATTCTTGTCACAATGACAACACTACCCATCACACAAACCATCACCTTTGGACTTACCTGTTATAATTCCTATTGTTTGAGAGCACTCCTTTAGACTATAGCAGAAAACATGAAGTTGGCTCAGATATCTTGGTCATCCTGATAAGCCCTTAGAAACAGTGGTCATGGGCGTGTTCAGGGAATTGTGTTTAATGCCTTGCTTGTTCTTTGACTATTTGTGTTTATTGTCTTGCTTGTTCCTTGACTATTTGCATCTATTGTAATGCTAGACCCTCAACCTAGATCTGACCTTAATACATACATGTAATCAAAATGGTATAAAAGCAAAAAGGAGGAGGGGAGATGGGATAGGGAGTTCTATGGAGGGGAAAGGGGGAAAGGGGATGACATCTGAAATGTAAATAAATAAATTATCCAATAAAAAAATTGAAAAAAATCTCCCTGTTATTGCTGCATTCTTAACTGCTTCAGAGTCATCATTGTGACTTGTATTTAACTGTTGATGGAAAGAATGCTGGAAGATGAGAATTAAATGTGCCATTGAACTGGGCATGGTGGTCACACCTTAATCCCAGCGCTTAACTCGGGAGGCAGAAGCAAGTAGATGCCTGCGAGTTTGAAGCCAGCCTGATCTATAGAACAGGTTCTAGGACAGATAGAGATACATAGTAGAGAAGGCCTGTCTCATAAATATGTGTATACATATATAGTTTGCATATAAATAATAACCCATTTCAGAGACAGCAAGGAAGTAGAACAGTATAAAACAGTTTTAATATTATCCATATTTAAATAATCTTTTAATCTCTAGTATATTAAATCTATTGGCTAGAAAGCCCAGAGGTGAAATCAGGAAAAAGAAACAGCATTTATTCACACATTCAAGGCCAGTCAGAAACAAACATGCAGTGTGTTAGTAGTATTCTGTCTAAACTCCACCTCCACAGTTACCTGGCAACACCCAGGTATGCTCCTCCCCACAGTCACCTGGCAACAGCCAGGTCGGCGTGCCCACTATAAAAGGGGCTGCTTGCCTCCTCCTCTCTCTCTCTTTCTCTCTTACTCTCTTGCCTCTAGCTTCTCCTTGCCCTTCCTTCCTTCCCTTCCCCCTCTCTCCACGTGGTCATGGCCGGTCTCCACTTCTCTCCTCTCTCTCTCCTCTTTCTCCACCATCTTCTCCCATTTCTCCCCCTACCTTTGCCCTCTGCCCCAATAAACCTCCTCCCCTTTGGAACCGTTTGTTCTGCTGTTGTCTGTTCCAAGCTGCGCGCGGAAGTCTAACACAGTGACATAAACATCTTAAATTAGATTTTGTTAATTTTCATAACCTGAAAATCTCATCATCATACACAGAATATTTTAAACCAGGGTTGAATCACACACACACACACTCTTGCACACATGTGTGTGCGCGTGTGTGTGTGTGTGTGTGTGTGTGTGTGTAAAATACTTATCATTGAGTCAAGATAACAATGTAGAAGTCAGTCATTTGAAAACTTCCTGATAGGAACTCATGATTAGCTATAGGCTTTTAAAAATATTTTAAAATCATTATTAAAAGTAGATTCTTCTCTTACACAATACACTCCAACTGTTCCTCTCCCTTCACTTCTCCAAGCTCCCCCTACCTCCCCTCTGCCCCAAATTCATTTCTTATCCTTTTGTCTTGAGGGAAATAGCCTCTAAGCAGGCCACCAAGAGAATAAAAGCAAACATGACAAAACAAGACAATGCAAAGGCTGGACAAGGCAACTCAATAGGAGGAAGAGTCCCAAGAGCAGAAAAAACAGTCAGAGGCACACCTGTTGAGAGTCCCCCAGAAACACCAAGCTAACAGCCATAACATATACACAGAGAACCTGGTACAGACCCAGGCAGACCCATGGCTGCCACCTCAGTCTCTGTGAGCCCATATGAGTCTTGCTTAGATGATCCAGTGGGCCATGTTGTCCTGGTCCTCCATCCCTTCTGACTTCTACAATCTTTCCACAGGGTTCCTAATATCTTAAGGTAGGGAGCTGATGGAGGACATTGTGTTTTTAAAATTGAAATAGCAGAGGAGAAATAAGCAAAGAATGTCTATTATATTTGTTTCTTCAACGTCAGTGAAATAATTTCACATAAGAATTGAGAATTAAAAAAACAAAACATAGGATTCTGAGAGAAAGTATTTTTTTTAACACATAATGTACTGCCAACAGTTCTCAATGGGAATTTTAAGCATAAGATGTAGAATGTAACAAGTGTAATTTGAAAATTCTTATTAGCATTAAGCGGTTCTAACACTCTAATATTCTTCCTAGGCTAAGAAGACTTGATAAAAGAATAAACAGAACCAACTATTTACATAAAGCACTTAAGAACGAACTAAGCTAATCATAGAAGGCTACCATTTACCGTATACTTCCCAGCATTTAATCCTCCCACTTATATATGATTATTAATATAAGATATTTTTACTGCCTATCTTTGAGAAACCAAGATAGAAACTCAAATAAAGGAAAGGGAGGAGAGAGATTGCTCAGTGGTTAGAGCACGTTTTAGTTGGGATTTTATTGTGGTGAACAGACACCATCATCACAACAACTGTTATAAAGGAAAACATTTCCTTGGGGCTGGCTTACAGTTTCAGAGGTTTAGTCCACGATTGTCGTGGCAGGAAGGACTGTAGCATGCAGGCATACATGATCCTGGAGGAGCTGAGAGCTCTACCTCTGGATACACAGGAAGCAGGAAGAGCAAGTGAGACCTGATTTTGAGACCTCAAAGCCACCTGCTACTGAAGCACTTTCTCCAACAGAGCCACACCCATTCCAACATTAGTGGCCACACCCACTAATGGTGCCGCTCTCTATGAACTTATGGGGGTTATTTTTATTCACACCACCACAGAGCGCTTACTGTTTTTAGATTTACAGAACCAATTCAAATGAATACTGTTCCCTGGTCAACTCACTACTGGCTGCCTGAAACCCCCAAATCTAACATCTCTGGTCTCGGTGGACAGCCACACACACCCCACCCCACCCACACCCCCAGACATACTTTTAAAAACGAAAACTTTTTTAAAAAAATTAAAGAAAAAAGGCCTGGCATGATGGTGCATGTTTTCAATCCCAGCAATAGGAGAGTCAGAGACAGGTGGATATCTCAGTTCAAAGCCAGCATAGTCTACATACATAAGGAGTTCCAGGACAACTTGGACTACTTAAAAGACTCTGTCTCAAATAAAACAACACTTGTATCTAATTAATGACACTTATGATTGGCTGGGTGGCTCGGCTCTTTCTTATTTTCATGAGTTGCACCGGCCTGGACAAAGTCCTGAACACCCCACCCACACACACACCCTCACCTCACCGCCACCGCACCCAGGGCGGTCTTGAGAGCTGAGAACCGACTTTCTGTGCCTTGCTCCTGAGGACACGCCCTTCCCGCCACCCCAGAAAGGAGTCCAGCAAGAGTTCAGGATAATTATTTTTCCGTTAACCTGGTAGAGAAGAGGCTTATAGAGATTAATTTTGTAAGAATGTTCCTTCACACCCTATTCTGAAGCCTAAGACTCTGCTCACTGCAGATGGGGTTTTCGGGCACCATTCTTTGCTGTTTTCTGCCAAACACATGTCATTGTAAGCCACCGATGACGGTATGAGGGTGCTACAAGCTTGATCCATCAAAAACAAATTCAGAAAATTAGTTGAGGGCCAAGAAACTACTACATAGTCCAACTTCACTGTAACATCTGAGAAGTTTCTCAAAAAGCAAAATAAGATAAAGATGAACTGATTTCCAAAACTCAGAAAGAACCCTCTGGAATGTAATGAACCACACTATAGAGAACCTACCATTTCATTATCTGTAAAGAGAACGGAAGCATTTCTAACTTGCCATTGTGTTTTTAGAAAGAGGGGATTGAACTACAGTGAACGACAACAAAAGAAAAAAAGCGAAAACCTAAACAATGCAAAACAAAACAAAACAAAACAAAACAAAACAAAACAAAACAAAACAAAAACCCTCGCAGTACATTCTGGTCCGCTATCCAGGCCAATCTGGCTAAAAGCAACCAGACCTGCCCGGGCAAGCCTTGGCACTGAACATTCAGTTCCGCAGCTTAAGGAAGGACAGTTCGGAAATGCTCCAATGAGAGAGGCTCAACGAGTCGGGTGTGGCTTCAAGGGGGCGGAGAATTGAAGTCTGGACAATGGGAAGTGTGCGTTGATTGGCCGAGCTTCCTCAGAGGCCATCCATCAAAAGAAGCACACCAATCAGCGGCGAAGATGCGTCCCAGCTAGCAACCCAAGTCCCCAGCCTGTCCCCCACCGAGGCCGGGCGCAGTCCTTCGCTGCGCGCTGACCCCAAGGAAGGCAGCGCCTAGTCAGGGCCCTGAGGGACCCTCCACCGGGACGCCGGCCCCTCCCCGGGCCTCTGCTCACTTGCCCCCCCGCGAGTCCGTCCCCCTAGTCGGCCTGTCGGATCGGGGACGTGGGGCGAGCTGAGAGCAGGCCCGGGGTGGGTGGTCATCGTGGTGAAGACGTGGCTGTCAAGGTGAGAGGGGACTATAGGGTGGACCACAGAACCCTGAACTCTGGAAAGCAAGCCGGGGCTAGTCTGCGCCTAGAGAGGCGCAGCGGGAGCGGTAGTCCTGTGTCATGCCTCTCAGTCCCAACCTGCACCCATGAACTGAGTTAGTGGTTCCTCACCAAGACGACTCTTATATCTGTCGTATCTTTAAATTGACCAGGAAAGGATCATCCTCTGTATCCAGAGCTTAGGTTGTGCCCAGGACTCAGAGGAAGTGTAACACATACTTATACCAATGCGATTCCCAGTTTCACCTAACTTTTTCTTTTGGTTTTTAAATGGCGTTAGACTATTAGGAGCACTGTGCGCTAAGCACCGCGCCACACTGAGTCATATCGTGTGTTATTCACAGTCACTCCAAGAAACAGATGTTGTCACCCTCGTTTCTCAGATGTAGAAATAAGCTCCTTTTCTGGCAATAATTGGGTACCTATCTATGTGCTAAGCAGTTTCTGTGACTCTTTAAGCAACCCGGTCTATGAGCTTAGGTAATAATCTTATTTCTGCTTCACAGGTAAGGAACTAAGAAGGTTCACGTTGTTAACATATATGGAAGATTATGTACTAACATTTGGCTTTTGGTTTGGGTGTATCATCTGGGGCAGTATCTGTTTGTGGCATGTACTAACAATGAAGACGTCTTTCCTTAAGTTGGAAATAAATTTTTTTAAGCCATAGTTCATGTCCTATACAAACTCAAAATTTAGGAAAGTGACCGACTGGGTGAAGGGAAAAATACTTACAGCCTTTGCACTGTCTTAGACTTAATGGAGGGAGGTGGGGGTGGGGGAAGCACTGTAAAGCACTTTTTGGCACACACAGTGCAAAGATAGCCAGGCAGGAAGGGTTCTTATGCTCTTTTCTGGGTTTGTTCTATTTATAGATGATAGAAGTACTGACAACTGACTCTCAGAAACTGCTACACCAGCTGAACACCCTGTTGGAACAGGAGTCTAGATGTCAGCCAAAGGTCTGCGGCTTGAAACTAATTGAGTCTGCCCATGATAATGGCCTCAGAATGACTGCAAGACTACGGGACTTTGAAGTGAAAGATCTACTCAGTCTAACTCAGTTCTTTGGCTTCGACACAGAGACATTTTCCCTAGCTGTGAATTTACTGGACAGATTCTTGTCTAAAATGAAGGTATGTTGATGCTACAATATCTCATTTCTTAATTTCGCTCCGTGTGTTCAAAAAATCAAATGGCAGAGGGCTGGAGAAATGGCTCAGGGGTTAGGAGTGCTTGCTGGTCTTCCAGAAGATCTAAATTCAGTTTCAACACCTAGGGGGACAGTTGAAATCTGATGCCCTCTTATAGCCTCCTCTGGCACATGCACAAATGTACCAAACATTCACACATATACACATATTAAGATTAATAAAAAGGAAAAGCCATCCAATTGTTGGATTAGGGATGGTATGCAAAAACACTTTCAAGTGTGGCAATGCTACCTTTTCATAATCACGACTAGTAATACATCACTTATTAGTTGTATGCCGGAAGTAGAAAGTAATTTACCATCAAACAATTAATTGTAGTACTCTAGTAGTAGAAAAGCTAGCTGTATTTTAAAAAAAAACCTTTCTTGAGCCAGCAAAATAATTGAACACCTAAGAGTACTTGCTGTACATGCCTCAGATAGTCAAATCTGAGTTCTAACCCCAGAACGAACTCCCAAAAGTTGTCCTCTGACCTTCACACATGCACCACGGCAAACACATGCTCTCAAATCTATCTCTCCCTTACATAGAGGAGTAATAAAAAATAAAATTAAGGGCCTGGCGAAATGCCTGTAATCCTAGCACTCGGATGGCAGAGACAGGGAGGTCTCTGTGAGTTTGAGGCCAGCCAAGTCTACATAGTGACTTCCAGGACAGCCAAGGATATACAGTGATACCATTTCAAAAAAATTATTAGAAATTTCTTTAAAACTGTTTTACATATATTTGTATGTTTGAGTGTGTGTGTGTATGTTTGTGTGTGTATGTTTGTGTGCACACTCATGCTGCAATGTATGTGGAGGTGAGGTCTACTACAGGAATTGTTTCTCTCCGACCACTACCGTGTGTCTTGGGGATTGAACTCAGATCATCGGGGTTGGCCATCAGCTTCTTTTCCCACTGAGCCACCACACTAGCCCCAATCAAAACCTCTCTTGATAGACTGGCTATTTCCATTCATCTCCTCACATCCATAGATTTAAAGTTAAATCTGTTAAAGTCCGAATGTTAGGTTGTGGATTAAAAATTAGAATATATTTCTTAATCACTACTCACATAAAAATTCTAATTCCTTTAGCTATCTGGCATTTCCTGTTCCAGTATGCATGCAACAGAAAAGGAAGCATTGTCAGGGGGAGGATCATTTATAACTATTTCCCTGTAACTGACAAAATATTCATATGGCTTTCAAAGTTTAACTCTTAAAACTGAAGTTGTCTTCCCTATCCACCCAAAGTCACTGGTTTCACGGAGGGCACATAAGACCATCAGGATCCTGTCAAAGTAGAATATGTTAAATCTGTTGTAGCTGAGATATTTGCCTTTGATAGATTTTTCATAATGGCTCTTGAGTCCTAGGTTGCCTTTGTGTTCAACTGAAGCATCTTAAAGACACTGTTGTGTTTGTAGGTACAGGCGAAGCATCTTGGGTGTGTCGGACTGAGCTGCTTTTATTTAGCTGTGAAATCGATTGAAGAGGAAAGGAATGTCCCACTGGCGACGGACTTGATCCGAATAAGTCAGTATAGGTTCACGGTTTCAGACCTGATGAGAATGGAAAAGATTGTGTTGGAGAAAGTGTGCTGGAAAGTCAAAGCTACCACTGCCTTTCAGTTTCTGCAGCTCTATTACTCGCTCATCCAAGAGACCTTGCCATTTGAAAGGTATGTGAACTCTGTTTTGAACAAAAAGGTTTGGAAATCAAAGGGATACTGTCTGGCTGTTGTATAAAATCAGGATTTTTTTTCATCAGAGGGTTCTGATCAAAATAAGTGTATGGCACCTGTGGTCCCTTGGACTTTGCTGCCTAGCAGAAGTGAACAGATGCCTGAACAGATGCCTGTCAGTCATTTACTGAAGGCTCCTCCTTAAGATTATAGCAAGTTCCTACTCTACAGAACCTAAGAAATAAGCATTTAACATAAATTATAGAAACACATTCAAAAGATGCAGAATTTTTACTGAAATAAAATCATGGTATTTGTGGTATACTAATTACTGTTCACCGAATGGTTTTTGACCAGAATCATTTAAAACTCCTGTTTCAGAAGTTCCTGTCACTGATAGAAGAGAATTTCCTTTTCTTAAAATAACTTTTTTATAGTGTGTATAAGTTTTATTTTAAAAACTGCCTTCAATACATTTCTAAAACTGCCAACTTGATATAATACTGTCTACATAAAATCAATCCCATTTTCTTTTTAAGGAGAAACGATCTGAATTTTGAGAGACTAGAGGCCCAACTTAAGGCGTGCCACTGCAGGATCATATTTTCTAAGGCAAAGGTACATACTTTATATGATTAATTCTAATTACAGAGACCTATTTTTACCGTTGACATTTACTTTCTATTCATCTTTTTCAGCCTTCTGTGCTGGCACTGTCTATCATTGCTTTGGAGATACAAGCACTGAAGTATGTAGAGTTAACAGAAGGAGTAGAATGTATTCAGAAACATTCCAAGGTATGCCAAGGTTATAGCATTGATCCTATTAGCAAGCTACAAGAGAAATGTATCCACTGTACCTCCTAACATAAAATAGGATGCTGTATATTGATCTGAAGCTTAAATGGTTCTCCCTTAGTTCCCTTTGGATGAGGAAACATCTTAATGAGAATAATTTATTACTATAACTACAGTGGAGCTTTTAATTTATGTTTTTTTTTAATTTATATACAGATAAGTGGCCGAGATCTGACCTTCTGGCAAGAGCTTGTTTCCAAGTGTTTAACCGAATATTCATCAAACAAGTGCTCCAAACCAAACGGTCAGAAATTGAAATGGATTGTGTCTGGTCGCACCGCACGGCAACTGAAGCACAGTTATTACAGAATAACTCACCTCCCAACGATTCCTGAGACCATTTGTTAGTCGGTAAATCTGGCTGTTATTCTCCATACAGAAAAATTTCTAGTGTGATCATTTTTCTGCTACAACTGAAGAATTAAAATACTATCTTCAACGCAAAGTATATGGGATGAAAATAGTAACGGAAAAGTGAGTTGTTGATGTAGAAAGAGAATACTAGAAGGCATTCACTGTGTACAGTGCATAGCAGTCTTAAGGTAGAGGACGCATCAAACCTCTAGACATATGCTAAGACTTTCATCAAAGGATTAGCGTAGCAAAGAGAATCCTCCAAACCTAAATTGTAAAAGTAGTTACTGAAATAGCACTTCTTTAAATTACATACCACCCCACTGTAACTTATGCAAAGTTACATAAGCCCAAGCAGAACAAAAAATGTGACCCATAGATGAGCAAATTTTAAACTGTCCATTGATTAGGAAAGTGAAGTATAAACTTAGGTGATGGACTTACAAAGTAATATAGGCATGCCCACCTTAGGTTTTTGGAAACTGCCGGGGTGTCTCAATTCTACAGTTAGTATTTTCCCTCTTTAGCAGTTGGACTAATACAAAGTAATTATATGCATGAAGCTATAAAATTGGTCTCTGATACAAATACATTTTTACCATCTAAATTTCTTAATCATAGCAAGGATTTATCTTTTTAAGATTAAAAATATTTTTTTTATGGCGGCACACGCCTTTAATCTCAGTACTAGGGAGACAGAGGCAGATGGATCTCTTTGAGTTCGAAGCCAGGCTGGTCTATATACAGTGAATTCCAGGACAGCTAGAGAGCTATATAATGGAGAAACCCTGTCTCAAAAACACTCAAAACAAACAAACAAACAAACAAACAAACATCAAATGTAAATGTTGCTGGGAAGATGGCTTAGAAGGTAAGGAAGGGTGCTTACCCTCAAGCCTGACATCCTGACTTCATTCTTCAGGACCAACATGATGAAAGGAGAGAACAAACTCCCAAGTTCTTTGGCACGTTCTCTGACAGATGCACATGCCTTACCACCCCCCTGCAATAAATATTTGATCATGTACCTGAGATATCACCAGTTCACCATTAGCAGCTTGACGTCTTATAGGCAGATTTCTGTTAAGTTGGGTTGTTTGCCTATGCAGTGAGATTGCAGCAGAAGCAGCAACAAAAACAGTCCCAGAAGTCTTTCTCTGCCGCTCTGACCTGAGTTTCCTACGGTACAGGATTTACTCTAAGAAACCTCAGCACTTTATCATGTTAGCATTGGCAGAATGGCCTCACGGTTTGGGGAAACTCCCGATTCTAGGCTTGGGAGAGCTATGTTTAGATTTGAATTCACCCACGAAGCATTCGAATCAAGGCTAAAAACATAAATGTGAAATAATACTGTGAACCTTCACTTTAACATTGCTCTAACTTCCCAGATTTGATCAATATATACTTAGGTGGTATGAAAAATGGTAAACTGCCTTCAGAGTTTAAATAATGAGGTCTACATCAAAACCAACATTTCACTAAAACACTTTTAAGGTATTAAAAGAGGTATTTTAAGTGATAAAATGGTTTCTTGGCATCCATAACCAAGTAATAGTTAATTTAGAGATGGGATTTTTTTTTATTGCTATGAGAATTACATTTTAAATTGTGGGTGTTTTATATAAGGCAGATTTCACAAATTTTGAAAATTTGTTACCTTTAATATTTCTTCTAGAGAATAGGTGTTTGTATCCATAATAAAAGAAAAATTCATCAGAATTGCTGCCTCAATCTAGTCCCATTTGAGAGAATTTATTTCTACTGTCTCAATAACTGGATGAATTACCACTCTGAAAATTTATTTATTGCACTAAAGTTAGTTTAGGCTTGATAAAACACTCCAGAAGTTTTTTTTTTTTTTTTTTTTTTTTTTTTTTTTTTTTTTTTTTTTTAAAACCACAGACTGTTTCTATAAAACTGCTGCTGCTTCTAGTGTAGAATTTTGTTTTAAAAAAAAAAACCAAGTTTATCTGCAAAACCTTCCTATAGGTCTTAAGGGAAGTAAAGAGGCACCTCCATAATTCTAACACCACCACGGCTGTGCTCACATTCTCCATGCTGGCCTTGAATGTATGATGTACTCTGTTAAAATGTCGGTAGTTCCTCAGTGCCCTGTACAGCCTGAGTCTACCTAGAATAGCTGTAACCATTTTGACATGTAATGGAGAAGAAAATTATCCATTGAGAAGCTGAACAATAAACCAAAGAACGGGTGTATTTTAAACCTTTGTAAACCTTGTTTCACTGAGAACATTTCAGTTCTTCCTAAAGGGTGATATGCTTCAATTTGAAAACAATATTGATTTTGAGTGAACAGAAGTAAACTTACCAACTACCATTATGTTCTGGATACACCTTTCAATAAAATTATTGAAATGCAACCTTCTCTGGTTTTGTTTTGTGATTTAAGTATTTTAGCAATATTATGAAATAAGCTTTATTTGTATTGTATATTACTTTTACTAAAGTTAAGATGCACAGAAGCAGACACAAAATCTCTTAGTAGTATAGTTATCAAGCTGGGTATGGTGGTACACACTTGTAATTCCAACACTGGAATTCAGTTCCAACACAGCCAAAACTTCATATCAAGTTCCAGGACAGCCAAACCTACATGGTGAGACCCTATCTCAAAATGTATAATGTCACCATTACCCAATTACTTTAATTTTTAAAAGAAAAACACAGGTTAAGTACATATACTTATATATACACTAAAACACTGTATTTTGTACGCATTATTATTAATCAGGTTTTTCATTTAGACCCACCAGTGCTATGGATGTTATTAACAATAAAAATGTATGTGTGTACTTCTTACTGAGTGTAATTAAGGTTATTCACTTAAGCATGGGTCAGAAATTATTTACTGGAACACAGGAAGCTTTTCAATGGATGGAACCCTGCGGAAAACAGCTGTGCTATCTAGTTTTATGTCAGCTTCACACCAGCCATCATCATTTTAGAAGAGAGAACTTCAACTGAGAAAATGCCTCCACTGGATTGGCTGTAGGCAAGCTGTGAGGAACAGGCCATGAAGCAGCACTCCTGGACATCTGCCTGCTTCTGCTTATTTAAGTTCCTGCCCTGCCTCCCTTCTGTGCTGGGCTGTGATATGGAAATGTAAGCGCAATAAGTCCTTTGCTTTTAATCCTGGTATTTTCTCAGAGTATGAGAAATCCTAGTGACTTCCCCTAGTCACCTTTGTCAACAGTCCCTCGGGGATAGGTGGGGCCTCATGAACTGTGAGTGGATGAAATGTGAATGGACCCAGTTCCTTAGAGCATTTCAAGAGAGTTATAAAGCAGGCATTGTGAGAAAATGACAATGGCCCATTGTACTTGACTCTACTTTCCAAGTACATGAACTTAATGTATTTCCAAATATAAGATATACATATACAAATAATTGCTATTTCTGATCTAACGACTGTGGCCGACAGTCATCCGTATAACTATAACCCACCTGATGTATGTCCTAAACTGAATGAAAATAATCAGTTACCAAATACATCAGACACAGGAAGTCATTAGTACTTTGTATATATATAGTACTAAGGGTTAACAAGAAGATTCAGGAATTTCTGACTCCCAGGCCTTTTGCTCTTATGACTCTGCATATTGTCCCAAAATAGAGAATTAATTCATGTGAAATTGTAATCCACATAATCCAAACCATATTCTGTGCTATCATGAGGGAATTATATGTGGACTTTCCCTCTTTTATAATAGCAAAGTAGTCTTTATCAACCATGTCATCACAAAATGTGCTACATTTTTTACGGTGTTAACTGGGAAGTTTATAACTTTCCTAGTCCAAAACCAGCTGATACAGAAACAATCTGGAAGTATTCAACACCTTTTCTCATTTCTTTTCCTGTTAGTCTGCTTTTGTTGTTTTTCAAAACAGGTTTTCCTCAGTGTAGCTGTCTGGCTCTGTGGACCAGGCTAGCCTTGAATTCAGAGATCCACCTGCCTCTGCAATGCGGAGATTACACGCTTTCTTGAAGTTCAGCCAGCTAGAAAATTTGGGGAACTTCAGCCTGATAAAAAGGAAGCATGGATACCTTGTAGATAGTATTCCACATAATGAACAGTGTGTTAACCATTCTAAGCCACAGCTAATACCAGGCTGATCAATTTCTCTATCATCTAGCCAGTATCATCAGGAATGGTGAAGATGTTAATAGGCCCTAATTTCAGCACCTGGGAGGCAGGTGATCAGGATATCTCAGCCACAAAAGTTATTTCAAGATCAGCATAAACTTCCTGAAGACTCTTATCTCCAAAGGAAACAGACCAAAGAAGAGTTGGGGGGAGGGGGGTAGACTACGAACTAGAAATGGTAAAATGAACCTGATTTACACAGGAAACTCAAGCAATCAAAAAGAATCCTCAAAAACAAACCAAGCAAAACCCACAAACTGAATTTATCAAGGCCACAGAACACAAAGTCAACAAACTAAAATCAAGCCTATCTGTATAAATGATAATACTAAATTATAAAATCAACAGCACTTTAAATTGTTCCACCTAAAAATGAATATTGGGGGAAGAAAGACACAAAGGATCTTTAAACTGACAATTACATTAAATGCCAATAACTGAAATCAAAGGGACTCAATGTAGACTCTACCTGTAGACTGCAAAGACTTATGAAATTCTACCCTATGATTGTCTTCCTGAATTCAGATCTGTCCGATCTGTATTTATGAGAGAATTAACTAAAACTCAAATAATGGCACATCTCTCAGAGATTTTTTTAAATTACATCATTTGAAGTGACAAGACATACTTCTAATCTGGATCTTTGAGGTGGGAAGATCCACCTTTACTCTGGACCACACCTTCTGCTGGCAACCTACATAAAAGACACAGAAGGCAGCTTGCTCTCTTCTTGCCTGCCTGCTCTGGGTTCTTGCTAGCAAGTCCATTCCTTCACTGACATTACAGCCTACTGTTTTGGAATTTCAGGGTATACTTAAGACCAGCTGTGACATCCAGCCTTGTAGACTGAAAAACTAATTACTGGATTCTTGGGACTTCTATTCGTAGGCACCCAATGCTGGACTAAATGGACCAAAGACTG